ATTGGATTTATTTCAATTGCAATGTCTCGTAAACGCGCCAAATGCAATACTTCGGGATGCTTGAGCAGCGCCAAACCATGTCCAATACGTTTCGTGCCGAGAAGAACGGCGTCGAGCAGATTTTCGTCGGTGTTRGTGCCAAACCAATTCGTTTCGCCGGCATGAAAATAAAAATGAATTTCGTCTTGCARAGCAAGCAGCTCGCGAGAGTAGTCATGTAAGGGGCGACCCTCATCTTCCCAACCAACCAAATCGAAACCGGCGAAGTAATCAGGAAAGTGGGACTACGGAGAAGTAAAGTAAAGCGCTTGAATAGCGATTTAGCACTAAAAATTTAGTTTACCTACCTTYAGCAGCAACGCATTGCCCAAATACTCGACGAAACGAGCGTCGGACACTTTTCTTGTCGGTGCGTAAATCAGGCGCGAACCAATCCAGTCTGGATACGAAGCGCGAAATCGCAAATCAGCATCGCGCATTGCACGTGTCGTATTCAAAAGGGTGTAGTTACCGCCACTCAAGTCATACAACTGATGAGAGAAAACAAAAGCTAGAAGCAGTCAAGTGATTAACGGTAACACACTCACTATCGGCAAGACGGAACGAATTTCCAAATATTGCACACCATCTGCATAGAACTCCTCCAACGCTTTATAAATGTAGTCACCCCACACTGGCGCATATGTCAGCAGTCCCACCACGAGCCGAAATATGCTGCGGAAACGCTTCCAGACTGCATCCTCGTTCGGAAAATATTCAAGCGGATACATAGTCAAATGTGCCAGCAACTTCTTATCGACAACATCGCTGAGCACACTTTGTCGCAATTCGCTCAGCAATGACCATTCGCAAGACTCTTCGTGCTGCGGCTGCAGCAAAGAGAAGCGTAACATCTTATACTCTTGCGCCTCACTCTTTTCAACACAAATCCACAAATGCTCACGATAGGTCAGCGRTAGCAAATACTCACTGCTACACAACGCCATATCATGCGCATGCAAGACGCCACCTTTTGGCATCGTTTTTAGGTATCGAAAGAGCGTCGTATTACTAATTTTCTCAAATGAGCGAAAGAAGTGCTGCGCCACCTGAAAGTGGCTTATGTTTTTCAAACCCAACTCCAGTTCATGCTGCTTCTCCAACATGATMAACTCATTGACGACGCGTTCATTGGCGTTAAGCAACACGCGTCCGCCAAGTTGATTATTTGACTCCTTCTCCAAGATATTGGCGCGCATTGTTTCATAGATGCGCACTCGTTCGGCAAGTTGCGCGTAGCCATGCAAAGCCGGCAAGTCCAGCAAGAGCGCAAACACCAAGAAATTGCACAGTATAAGGAATATTGCAAGATTTCTAATCCAGCGCAAGTTCGCCATGATCCCAGTTGCTCAAACGATGCGCACAAACTAACTGAGTTTCGGCGAATGAGTTGGGTTTGATGCGTAAGCTCACTCTCGTAATTTTGGCTAATGCGCTAGTTTATTTATTTAGACTCTCACTAATCAGACCGAGCTCAAATTCAGACCTAATGTTGGTGTCACTGATAAGTGGAAGCAGAGCTGTGTTACTTAATGCGCAACATTTAAATTCACAATAATTTTTTTTTTTTTTTTGTCAATAAATTTTCTCGTATTTCGTTAAGAAATAATTAAATAACATTTGAAAAGTCCTTCGATGACAGCGAAAACAATGTATACATCATTTAATTTTTTAGACTTGGGGAAATTACAAGAGACTGACACGGTCAAACGTTGCATAGTTACAAGTGCTACAATGGGGATTGTGATACAATTCTAGTGCAGAACCGTCCTTGCGATTTGTAAAGGGTGATCAATTTCGAGGTTCCCTAATTTTTTAAAGAAATTCAAGTTTAATGGGACATGTTTATTATCATTCGAAAGAACATTTTTTGGCATTTATTTTTTGAAGATTATCTCTTGCATATGCTGGCCGCGGCTACGTTTTAGATGGTACATCCGTTTAGTCCAATCTTCCATAACTCGTTCGATCATTTCGACCGGTAACTGGCGAATGAAGCTTCTTCTTCTTGATTGGCGTAGACACCGCTTACGCGATTATAGCCGAGTTAACAACAGCGCGCYAGTCGTTTCTTCTTTTCGCTACGTGGCGCCAATTAGATATTCCAAGTGAAGCCASGTCCTTCCCCACTTGGTCCTTCCAACGGGCGAATGAAACACGTCATATTATTTTCAGAGGCCTGAAATGAAGCGGGATTGTCCATATAGACTTTGAACTTTTTATACCCCCACAGGAAAAAGTCTAAARGTGTATTATCACACGATCTTAGCGTCCGATCGACCGGCCCAAACCTTCAAATTATCGGCTTACCGAAGTTTTCTCTCAATAAAACCATTTATTGATGCGATTTGTGGGAATTGCCTAGTATCGACAGTTACAGTTATATCCGCAGCTTCTGTGACTAGTAATATGTTGCGATAGATAGAGCTCCAATAGTAGAGATTCTTCGTCATTGTATATTTGGTAAGCTGCTGGTTTAATTCTCTCACAATCTGCTGAGGGATACAAGTTGCAGATATTAAAGTAATTTGAAAGGAATAAAATTATTTTTTTTTAAGCCGCCGTCTTGTCAGCAACCATGAATTTAAGTAATCCTTCAATTATCGAATAAGTTCATCTATAATAATTTCTTTGGTTTCTGGATTTGAACTAAGCTGGAATTTCCTCACCACAAAAACACGGTTTTTGGAGGTCAAAACGAGTTCCGCTACGGGATCAGGGGAATCCAAGTGTTTTAAAAATATGTCCGCGATTATTGAAGAACAATACTTTGGGAAAATGTGGTTTAGAAATTGAGTTTCTTACAAGAGTAATCTACCTTTTTTGTACAATAATATTGAAGTGTTAAATTAGGTTTAATTTGGAAATATAGTAAAAATCAATAAGCAAGGGTGAAATCTTAGAAATGTTCTAAACGATATCTCAGTAACAAGTGATCTTGACCTGGCAATCCAACTTTAATTAGGTCTGTCTCTCTTTTAGCCACAATTCCAATGCTGAACTTGCATGTCAACTTTATTAAACGATTTCAAACCAATTTAAATACGTTTTCCAAATCTCGTACATACATACCTATCAATTTGTAGAAATATTACACGGAAGACAAGATACAACAATAAAAAATATATACTGACATTGAAAATTACATTTCAATTTTTTTTAAATAAACGTTATTTTCACAAAATATAAACGCCTTTCCAAAACTTTTATATATTTTTTATAATTGGACATTTTACTACATTTCCACACTCAACGGCTTTGAAACTTCGATTTAGACCGATCTAAGKGCAATCAAATAAATTCATATTTCTATAAAATCCTCTGCTAGAATTGAAGAAGAGAGCTAGTGAAACCACAAACAACGAAAGCGCATGCGACGTACTCCGCAGCAGCGAGATCTATAGGCTTTAGATCTGAACACCTACAGTATGAATGTTGGTACACAACATCAACAACAACCACAACAACTTGAGAAGGTTAAAATTTGAATTTGGTGTATAAGTGGAGCCATGAATATTTATTTCCAATGTCTTTGACAGCATTCAGACTCGCCGAATCAGAGGCCGGGAAAACCACCCGTCGCAGGTTTCCAGCAAATGGCGATAACGACAGCTCAACCAATGAAACTGGAAAAACCAAACTCGGTAATAAGAAATAATATTCATGCGAAATATGATATTGAATGCAAAATATTTTTKCTTTATCAGAGTTCCGAGCAAAGCATGAATCAGGGCCTTACTCGTAGCTTGAGCATGATTGATTTGCCTTCGCAGGGTGGGAAGCTGTTGAGGGTATTTTTATACTTAATATTCTTTACTCCACTTAAATTAATTTACCGCGATTAAAATAAAATAATTAAAATCAATTGAATTTCAGCTGCGCGCTGGTTATGATCATTTGAACGCCGAAGAGGAGGAATTGCAAAAATTTTGTGAATCAATGGATCCAAATATAGTTTTCGATRAACTGCAGCCAGAGCCACCGCGTCCGACGCAGCGGCAAACAGCTCGCTTGCGCGCTGGTTCACCAAACATTTACTCATGTCCGCCGTCAACGCCTTGTCCTTGTCCAGACACTTTCAACAGACAGACAGAGCAATCCTCGCGGATGCAGAACTTTTCGTCWTTCTGTCCGCCAGGGGTGAGYTCAATACTTCAATATCTCCTCTGAGTTTTTCACGACTTTGAAAATTGTTAACGTGACAAAACTGTTCATAAATTTCTCACGAGACTTAGAGAAACGTGAAATTTTTAAAAATTCGAATAAATAACTTTTGTAACATTTTATCACATACAGCTGAATACCGGTAATACGAGTACTCCATATTCACAGTCAACACGACGTCGTTCGGTAAATGATTCAGAGCAGTTAACTTATAGAAATTTGGGAATTTTTCTCACATTTATRTATATTTAAAAATTTCAGCCCTTTGATGAATACCCCAGCATACCGGCACGTCACCAGGTAACCACATATATAACTAATAGAAGACTTATTGACGCCATTTCTGCAATACATTATATTTCTTTAGTCAACCAGGGATCCGACAATGTCAATGTGGTCGCCGCCGATACCACAGCTATCACCAATGAGGCAGTCCACGGGACCATCGACATCGACTAGGGTATGTACCTTCGRCGTTTGTTGTTGCTTCAGTTACATATAAATTAATTCTTCCATCTTTGTAGTACTCGCAAGATACGTCGAAAGTGCTGTACGAGTCSCCGCGAAGGAGCCACTATTCACCAACAAATGTGAGTGTTTTAATTGTTGGACCTAAATTCATATACAAATGCTCCCACAAATACCCTTCTAAATCTTCCAGCGAATGAACACCACACCCTACATGGGCTTGGCAGGACAACCCTTTAATTTAACGGTAATACGGCAACCAGTAATCCAAATAGCACTACAAGCTATAAGCTGTCCTCGATTCGCCATTTGTCTAATCGCTATCTTTGCGCGTAATAGTATGTTCGATTCACTACTCYTCAAAGCTTGGCAAATCGAAGACAGCTAGGAACAGATATACTGAATAATTAATTAATATTAAATATTATGGATCGCCTAGAGACAGCCGAAAATGATGGCCACGAAATGGATTACGCCACCGGGYCGCATGCCGTCGTCTTTCATGCAAGAGTCCACTCTAAATCACTCCGTGCTGCCAACGGTATGTATAACAACGATTTCCAATCCTTACAAAAGCATGCAATTATTTCCCCTTCTAACCATATAAATTACCCAGATGCGAGAGGCTTGGACATCGCCATCATGTCCAACGGTATTTTCAATTTATTGAGTAATTTTATTAGAAAGTTCAATGTTTTTTCTTTTAGGGTATTGATGAGTCACTCATATGCCACACGGCGGAGGTAAACAAATTGTTTCTGCATTTGCATTAGTTTTTCTGGTTTTATTTTCATTTTTGTATCCATAGATTACCGATGCATGTCCCAATAAAAATAGGAATATTCCTTGTGAGGGTTACGAGACTAATGAGAAGTCTTATCCGGCGCCCCCACGCTGCAAGCCACTGCACCCGGATATAGCTAAGGTGAACGGKTGATTTGTTTGATGGCATTTCGCAACAATTTAATTTTTTTTCTAGAAATTATGCGGTGATTTGCCACTTTTTAAAATACCACGACGCAGTAATTATTAGATGAAAGCATTCAATAACCACAATCATACGCTAAATAAATTTAATTGCAGTGGAAGACGATTTCATTTGCATTAAACACCGCGAGCAATGGGAGCAACTGGTCAGGGATCAAACTTGCCCGGGCGCCATACAGTCCACAATCGATGGTTCGGTTGATTTCAATGCGCTCGCTTTTAATATATTCTTCGGCGATCACCGTTTGCCCGACTGCTTGCCGCGCATTGAGCCGATCACGCTGCTCGAGGCGTTCTTTATAAGAGTCAAATACGAGCGTTGCCAGATAAAGAATTTAGAGGACTTAACCTATGCTAGGAACCACCCAGAGGAAGAGGAGACACATACTCCGCCCCYATCGAGTGATGAGTGCGTTTGTGATACTTACTTCATTAATTAAAATAATATTGAATATTTATCACGCTAGTTGTAAGCTAATTGAAAAGTGTTTCAAACGCAAATTTGACACCGATCTGAATGCGGCATTGGAGAAGCTCTTGAAAGCGGAAAAGGGTTTCACGTTCCTATCCCCACAGGCGGTAAATAAATGATAAAAAATTGACTTAAATAAATTCAAGTGTTTTGTTTTTTTTTTTTTTTTTGCACAGGAACAACCGCTAATGAGTATGACAATGGAAAGCACCAGTACCGACATGCCGGGAATACCAATCTCCATAAAGGCCTTTACAGGCACAACCAAGCCAAGAGAATGAGCTCATATGATTGAAGAATAAGAGAAGCGATAAGAAATATAATAGATACTCAATTTATGAATATGTAAACTTATTTACATAAATAAACTAGAATTTTCCTCAAAGGGGGAGATTACAACTCCAGTGTAATAGTAAGGCTGAAAACACATTAGAACACAGGGTAGGCATTAAAGTTTGCAGGAGGTGGATAAACTTCATATGACATAAACTTACTGAAC